AATAAAACGATGCGTGTTAATAGCCGTTGGTTAATAACTTAACGTATAAGTAGTTAGTATTTTGTGTATAGAAATATTAAAAGTAGTAAATATTGTAGAAATGTTGTTAATGGTATTAGTTTTGGTTTAAATTATGGAATCATTTCACAATTATGCCGGTAACCTCTCCATATGTGATTTCCAATTGCATCTGTATTAGTAGGCTAACTGGAAGAACAAAAGTATTACCGTGGAGAAGAATTCCAACTAGTGTTCCAGTTAGTTTGATACGGTTTATTTAGTTACGGGAGATTTTCTCAACCTCATTTTTATTTGGCCGTGATAGAATTTAGTATACTACTAATACACATGAATGGTTATCAAGACAAAATTTACATACGTGAGTGATAATTATATGAATTTTGGACAGATAACTAAGAGCGATTCGCTAAACATGATTGCATTCGTATGAGACATGGTTTAGACTCAATGTTCTGATCTGCTATAGAATATTTATTTATATTTATACCTACTGGTTGATGGTGCATACAAGTTAGTTGCAAGTATGCAGTTTATCATAAGGCGGAATACGATTTAATTGAGATATAGTGATTACAAGTTATTGAAATCAGTTAAGCCTATGTGTGACATTACTAGGTGATGTGCTGCAAGATGTATTCGGCTAAATAAGTTTTAACAAGATGATTAATGGTGAGTGATGCCCATGTGATAATCAGGGAGAACATAAGTTGCAACCAATGGGAGTACACTCCCAACTCATGTCTATGATAATGGCTTGAACCTTAGTCATTGTTGGGGTAAATTCGACATTGATGTTTTCAGTTTGCAGGAGGTTTGCTCGACTGCTTATACTGATTATTTGCATGCATGATTGTGTCGCTAAACCATCAATTAGACTGACAAGGTTTTGAGATATTTACTGAATGAGCAACTGATAGAGAAACATACTGTAATCATCTGTATTGAACGAAGATAAAAGAAAAACAACACTAGTGATAATTATAAGTCAATTTGCTGACCGATTTTGTTAATAGTTTCATTAATTTTATCAATCATATTACGTGATTGTCAAGTCATGACAATGCTTTATGACGATATCCTGAAACTATTATGTTTAACTAGTTATAGTGTTGAATGAGGATGAGTCAGTGGGAAAATGGGCATTGTTGCTCTAGGTGATTCAAAATTATCAGAAATTTGTAGCGTCAAAGAATCAGAGCTACCTTATCATATAATAAATTTCAATTCGAGTATATTCGTCTAGCGTAAATTTTAGTAGGCTCCAGGGTTTTGATGTTAGACATTTGTTTAGCCAAAAGCTGCCTGAGAATTAGTTATTTTACTAGTGCAGTTGATAGTCCCTAAATTTGTAATCTTATTATCTAAACTATGTTCGCATTTTAGGCTGCTAATATGATAAACCAATCCATAAACCCAAATACGATTAGCAACAACGACTATGATGGGTTTATTGATAAATGTGAAAGGCGATTCAGATGATTTTTAAATTTAGAAGACATGAAGATATAGTGCAACGTATGTACGGGCCAGGTTAACATGCAGGTTGTTGACGTATATGACAATTTAAAAATAATGAACATCACCAGAAAACAATTTCAAAGTTAAGACTGCTTATGAAACTTCAGGCAGGAATATGACGCGTTAAAAACATTCCATAGGAAGTTAGTGCATTTAGCCTAGGGACACTTACAAATATGTGGCAAAAGCAACTGGAAAATACATACATGTTAAGTACAAAAAGATCATCCAGTAAAATAGTTGAACTCGCCTGGGTTATTTTTGAAAATTAGATTATTCAGTGGACGACATATATAACGCCATTCGTGAGTCGTATTAATGATCATCAATTCATCCAGAATAAAACATGCAGTATGGCAATTAATTCCAGGGTGCTTGATGCTGTTGATGTTTCTGCCACTCGCTCGGATCAGAATAATCGAATGAATCGAGATAATTGTGTGTTTGTCATTGAAAGAGCCATCTAAAATGACCGTATGTTTCTGTCATCCTTGTTGTTTGGCAATGGAACTCGAAATATGAAATTAGGCAGGCAGTGATCGAAAGAAAAGATATTACAGGATAGTGCATAGTTTAAAACAGGATGAGGTGTTAAGTGAAGGAACAATGAGAATTAGATCCAGATAACTATTTAGTCCATGATTGCATTGTTAGTCAATGTATATTTACGTTATTTACAGGTCATATTTGCTTGAGCTCGATGTTTAAAAATGATTATGTCGCTGAAGCATGTAAATGCTACTAAAGCTTGTTAATGAACCATCAAAGCTAATTAGCTAATAAAGACGACCAGTTTTTATTATCGATTGACCTAGTATGTTACGAGAAGTAATCAGTATAACATTACGATGATACATGTGAGCATTATTCAGAGGACCATTAGAATAATGGGTTTACACAAATAGAAACCGATTGAGAAAGTTAAAGTGGAGATTCAAGTTAACACATCGTATTAATGAGCCCAACAGCAGCAATGTCATATCACATGTTATTGTGTGGCAAAGCACATTGACCATAGCTAACGCTCGCTTGTAACCGAGACACAGGAACATTTGACAGTGTACAACTATTGGAGGAAAGACTATGGAAGTCTCATTCTTGAACATCTAATCGAGCTCAGTCAATCTGCTGGTCCTCAGTTTCATTTTTCGGTTGTTTATACGATTCATACAAATCTACTTACTTCGCAAACAACCCCAGAAAATAGCCGAAGATCTCACCATCCATCAGCTCAAGCTGGAAACATGCGTACAAAACACGTGAGTCCTTAAGTTGTTAATACCCTGAACTTAATCTGTTATAATTATCAATGCTGCATTCCCCCAATAACGTATGTCTCATATTTCCATTATTTTATTCAGAGTTGCTCATGATATCGCTTCATTTATTTCACACACCCCATCACTTTAAACTACCTTCAGTTATTGTAACAAAACCTTTTATAACACATTCATTTGAGTGATTAATATTCTTCTCGGATAATTCCCTTCAGGTTCTACAACCTTTTGTCCAAATTATTATTCCAAATAACGTGGTCAGAATTTTCGTGCAGAGAGCTTCACTTCAAATTGTCACATGTGAATCAAGGATTGTTTGTCATATAAAATCAAACAAAGTCCTTAATGTTGGGCTGATTAATATGGAGTGTTAACGTGAATCAGATCATAAATGAAGTATTATAGTAAGTTTAACTGCGATCAGAATGAATGTGGTGAATATGAGATTAGAGATATAGGGAGAATAATGTATTTACGGAATCGGTTTCTATACATTCAGTAGTGTGTATTACCTAGGTAAATGAGTAGCTACCGGATTTGTTCTTTCGCATATGCTCGTTCGAATCATCCGTTAATCTCGGCGCTTTCTAAATATCTGGTAAGTTTGTTCTCCTCTATCTTATTAGTGTCGTACTCTTGGTCATTCAGCTTAATGAAGTTTTGATGATCATTCAAGATGTTACTGATAATATAATTGTAGCCATTTCTGTTGAACGGTACAATTCCTGTTACTTCTCGTCATTAATTCTAGTTAAAATAATTCTGTAGTTATATCCTTTATTCTCAAACTGTTAGCAACATTCCAATCGTCTTACTACATTCACACTGTATTTCGTTACTAAATTATTATGTCTGTTTGTACAAATATTCGTTAAGATTTGAACAAATAGTTTGACAGTAATTGAGCGCCGAGTATAGAGAAGTCATTATATGTGAAAATTATATTTAAAATATTCTCAGTGACTGAAATTTAACTAATTCCAACGTTTCGTCCAGATAGCTTGTCTGGACTTCTCCAAGGTAAGAAGCAAAATCAAAATTATCAAAGAAATATATAGCTTTTAATAATGAGGATCATACTGTGTTAAACCAATCATATTTGGATGTTGATTTTTTGTAAAATAGGATAGAATGAGTCAGTTAACTACAAATCATGTGAAGAATTCAACTACACGGAAATACTTAACTGAGTAACAAATCGTATGTGTGTGTGTGAGTGTTTAGGTATGTATGTATGCGTGAGAGATTGATATGAAGGAACAAATAAAAGTGCAAGTTCAAGGATGAAAAATTGATAATGAAACATCGATGTACATGTGAAAACATAAATTGTATTGTTTAAAATACTCATTAAATTCTTCCAAAAATAATAATGACGATGCATGTGATATAAAAAAACAGGTTTAAACAAGAGATAGGTTCCAAATTTACTTGTCAAACGAAATTTGCCAGGTAGTTGTTGCCAGTTGAATACCATCTTTTCGGTTCAGGCTGTTCTTGTTCGCCCATATATGCAGCGCTTCTGCTGTCAATCTTTCTTTATGGGTGTTAAAACCTTTCTGAAGTATTTTGGTCCCTTCAAAACTAATCTTGTGTCCCGTTTCTAACGCATGTAACGCTATCGCTGACCTATTTTCAAGTTTCTTTAAATCAACCGAGGATTTCGGAACATTTTTCAGGCATTGTTTGTGTTCCTTCAAGCGTATATTCAATTGCCGGGATGTTTCTCCAACATAGGTAGCATTACAGTCATGACAGTGAATCTCATACACAATGTTCTGTTGTTCTTCCTTTGTTAATTTGTCCTTAACTTTCACTAATTATTACCCTGAAGAAGTCCAGACAAGTTAGCTGGACGAAACAACGGAAGTAGTTAAATTTCAATCGCTGAGAATATTTCAAATATAATTTTCACATACAATGTATTATGTCTGTTGTTGTTATTCACAATAAACAATATAGTTATATAGTATTTCGAGTACATCATCATGATTATTCCTTGTTAGGATGTCCTCATGAAACCACAACTTTAAGAATAATGAACTTCATATATACATATAGATAAATAGGCACGACTGTACAGCTTGATAGTAAGTTCGGTGAAAAGAAATCGATTTATCACCTTTCACCTTCTATGTTCATGTGAACGCTAAGAAACCCGTGGAAACATTCAAAACAGGCAGGTAAATGTGTGGTATTTATTGGTAAAACTACTTAATACAAACTAAAATGATCATAGTATCAATAAGCACTACATATCAAGTTGTCTCTGATTCTTTTAAGCTTGGTTTGTTTAAACTGTCATTTGATCATCCTTATATGCTATGATGGAGAATATTTCGATAAACTCTTTATCATGTTGCTTATCCGGTCCAACGATGCTGCCATATACCTGTATACCGATGCGGGAGAGTTGAGTTAAATCTAATGGCGGTAAATGAGGTATCAGTTCTCCACGAAAGTATGGTTTGAATGTACTAAATGGCAGTTTTATTTGTTCTCGTTCTCCAGATGTCTATAAACATTTCATAGAAAACACATTGAATTATTCTACACATTTGAACACCACATTACCTCGAAAAACGACTCATACGAATGACAATTGCGTATTTCCGAACAGTTTCCATAGAAGATCAATTTCATGTTGGGATTTCTACCATGTGTATGTATTTCAATGATAACACCAGTATAGTTTGACAAGTCCCAGGTATCCAGTTTGTAGTCGATACCAGCGAAACCTGATCCATCTGGTTGTGGATTGATTTCATAGTATAATATTGCCGACTGGTTATTCTAAACATGGTGTTAGTCAAATTATATCTATAAATAAAACTCACATAAGCAGTATGTGGTACGAGTGCAGCTATAGACCGTCCTTCAACTCGAAATGTATCTGATACTTCGAAAAGAGATGTTCCATGTTCCGAGAAGTTGAACAGAGTTAAATTGCCCGAATCACTTCGCTGCATGAGGGTTATTGGTTTTGATTGCGATTGAAATCAGATGTCATGATGCTATCGCTTATAGGGAATGATTGAGTCGCATCCGTTTGTGATGAGTATTCATCCGTAGCGTTGCAAGTATTGAGCAACAGAGTTGTGAGTATTAAAACAGCAACCGAGTTATTTCTAATTGACATTCTGAGGTGAAACAGTCTGGAATTCAGTTGAACTGTTTATTTGCAAGGCAAAGTATAATCTTAATTAAAGTTCTGTTGACAATGTATTATGAGTTTAGTGTGAGATGTTCGTGCGCTATGGCGGATTGATAATAGTTATACATAGACGCGATCGGGTACAGAATCAACTGATTCTCACATAGTTGCTATAATTCAATTCAAGAAAAACATTCAATGTTTATTGTAAGTTCCTTGTATATGAGTGAACAGAATCAACGTTCATATCATTTGTGTTATTTAACAATTTCGCTGTCCACTCTATGTTGATCGGAAATATAAGGTTTCTCCTTAACGCGATGAATACTGACTGGAGTTTGTGTGATGCATAGGGTGAATCTCTGACCAATACCTTGAAAAAGCATCATCACGAACTTTGAAAGTAGATTTACTACTTACAGAATATTTGCTAGATACATGTAGAGATTGTTCATCTCATAAGGTTTCATCGAATACTGATTTCATATTCTTATGTTCAACTGTTTCTATTACTGACATCAGTGTGAATCCATTGTTTAGAGGTAAATCTCAAAAGTGCAATGAAACGTCAATTGAGTATTGAATTTTAAAATTACTTACCTGTAGAATAGACTATTTTGCCACTTCATCCGATCACATACACGTTCGCTTTTATACTTTTATTTCACAATGAGATTGTGAGTTTCAGCCAATCACCTCATCCTGAATACGATCAGCTTGATAATGGCTGTTCAGAGTTGAATACAAAGTTCAGCGGATTATATGAAGTGGACGTGTGACACATCAATGCATGAGAGAATTGAGAAATAATACCAATAGTAATCTTATTGATACCAATAGCTACACGTACACATACACACAAGTAGATGAATGAACAGTTTTCAAATAAAGGATAAGATTATCTTGTGATCTGATTAAAGAATATTAAGGATAACAATCGTTATTTTCTGGCACTCTACATTACAGACTGATCTGAGTTTGAGGTTGATTGAAAACTAGGATGCGTTCGACTGTTGTTGTGTCCAATTATGTTACTCCTCAGAGGTGTGCATCAAAGAGCTCACCAATGGTTAGACGTTTGACTGTCGGATTTTGTGGATAGCATTCAACCTCTACAATTCTGATCCGATATCCGAGTGTTCGCATGGTTATCTTCAATCAGTTTGCGATGAAGAGAGTATCAATGATACGATTTATGAATGAGGATGAACTCTATGGTTTTGTTTGTACAGATTGGTGTCACTAGTTTGTTGAAATACTCGTGCAATTTATCATGAGCTTCTCCAATATGTATTTATAGTTTCGTTTACGAATTTGCTGAAAGACATCGGAATGTCGGACAAATGAACTCTCCACCCACCAGAGTATCATCGTAGCAATCACTTCGAGCAAAATCCACAGTCAACTGGTGAAAATCACCAAGTGAATAAAATGCTAGCGAATGAAGTGATTTGAAACTGAATCCAGTGTTCAAGCCGATAGTCTTCCATTATGAGAAATGGCAGTAAGAAATGTGAAGACAAATCGAATGTTTCTATTGATCCAGTGACTTGGATTAATTTTAATTTGGTTATTTATTCTCTGAAGAAGCGACTTACACTAAGTCACGAAACGTCAGAAAATCCAATTTTCTTCTCATTGGGATACTACAAATATAATATTTTTTTATGGTCCAGTGACAGTTTGTGATTTCGATACAGAACGATGAGCGTTGTTCACATGAATGCGTTCATGATTCTAATTTGAATACAACACATCACTCTATGTTCACAGTATAATCAATCATTTGAGTGAGTGGTGGTGAATTCATGTTCACTAGGGTATGCACTGAATAGATGTGGAAATTACTAATAATTCATACATTACACCACAGTCACTAGTTCTATTTCAAACTATCATGAAGATTTTTGAATAGTTCACGTCTTTGAATTGTATAAGGAGGAAGCAACAGAAAGGAAATATGGAACTTGAGTGGTTAACATGTATCAATATCAACGTTGCACTTGATAGTTTGAAATAAGTTGAGCATTGGATAGAGAGTTGATCATAAGTTTACCAGGTTTACTGTTATATCTGAATGAGTGGAAGAATTGCGTTTCTGGCGTTTCGGGAACGAACGTGACTCGCCACTTTAGAGTGTATTACTAACCGACATTAAATTAACACAGGTATAAATTGTACATAACACTCCACCGAAAGATGAATTGTGACGATAAACTGAGTAGGACTCACTGTGATCCGTTGTAATTTTGTCACTTACCTACATATAATGAAATCGCTAGTCGGCATAAATAACAATAATAAAATGAAATATCTGATAAACAACTAAGATAAATTATTTCGGTGAATAAGAGTGAAGTAAAATGTAATAATGAAAATATAATCATTTGGTACATCGAAATCGTGAAGGTGTGGTGAGATTGATGACACAAAATCTCGGTATGAAATCGCCATCCATTTCAACAGACATATTCTCTAAGTTCTTAATTTAGTTTACAGAAGACGAATCAATATAGTTTTAACTAGACGTTAATGATCTGAATATACTTCATCAGCGTGTTGAATTAAGGAAACAGTCATATCTGTCCCAGTCATCATTGTTGTTTCTCAAACTAACTAGTTCATTTAAGACGATGCAGTATGTACGAACTGTCAAACACATCAGATGAATCTTCAGGTGATCTGAAAATATTTAAAGTTTTATTCCAGATGACACAAATTGTCTCTTCAACATGATGTATACTCACCCCTCGACTTGTTAGATGATAATTCTGCTTTAAATGTAATGATTCATTTAGACTATTTCAGTTGAATGGATGAGAATAAGTTTTCCAAATCCTCGTAGTGAATACTCAAACAAATAAAACGTCGCTCAATGCAATTAAAACGACTCACTTATATAAATGAGTATAATACGTGAGTACCTAACTACCGAATGTGAGACAAGATTTCTCATATCTATCACTGACTAACTTATATGTCAGTAATGATGAGTGAAATGGTTGTCATTAGTCATGTGATGACTTCCTTATAATGCCCACTTAACTTATCAAGTCTGCAACCCTCAATTAAGCACGAACCATCAATCAGCATTCTCCAACACACTCTATCCAAAGCCTCCCATCCTAGTTCTATCCAGTGCTGTTCATTCTTATCCGGTTTGTTTCCATTTCTCGGTGTTATATGTTAATTGGTACTACACTTCTCCTTCGGCATTGAGGATTCCAATTAAGGGCTTGCCTTGTGATGCAGTAACGTGCTTTCCTATCGACCTACACAGCTTCCTTCTGATTTATTCCTCCGCTGGAATCTAGAATGTCCTCACCCACAGTGGGTTGCTGCTGATAGTGTCCAGATTACGGATCCGCAGTATGTTACGTATACAACTGGTAACAAATACTTGTTACTTCAGATTGATGGTATTTTAGCTCTTTCAGATTGCGTCCTATACAGTAGAACTGTCTTAACACTTAAATAACACGTTGTTCCGCTGTACTATTTAAATTTGAATTAATTTTGACTTTGTTATTTTGTTTTCTGGAGCAGTGGGTTACACGGAGACTTAAAACGTCAGAAAATCTGGTTTTTCTACTTCACAAATATACTTATTTATTTACGATATTCTAAAAATGCGCAATCTCCTCGATATTTTTCAAGTTAAACCCTAGCAATGATACTTGACTTGACAGTCGTTATGAGTTCAAGATGTTCTTCAACTGTAGATGTGCTCGGCCTACTTTGCCGATCCGTGCATTCACAACTCGTACTTTCACCATTCAACATTGTGATATTTTGAGTGAACATAAATCTGATCATTAGTTCAAGCTCACCATCAATCACATAAAATGAGTACGTGTGATCTCATTTTCGGCGATTAGCTTAAATTCATTCACGTTAATCATATGATGTGATCCATTTGATTTCTGGACTAGACATATCATACACGTACTAGTGCAGTGATTTATTCTGAAATCCATAATAGTCTTGTGCATAGTTACACGACGAAAATTTTAAGGTCATTGATTGCAACGTTAAAATGTGTCAGTAAAATCTCACCAGTTTGAGCAAGGTTCTTAAAGAAGAGTTTTAACCAACACAATTTTCAAGCGATAAAATCATTTAATCATTTATCTCACCAGAATATAGTTCCATGTAAACATGTATTGATTTAAGTGAAAATCGAAGAAATACTTTGAATCATACATTCTCAAACGCGTGTTTGCTGAATCTATGCTTCACATTACACATGTTCCTCTTTCTTCTAGAAACATATTTGAATTGCCTCACTCCTGACTTCTTTTTACTTTGACAGGGTTTATCAAAATTATTGATTGATGAGCAATTCAAACACACACTATCGTTGTAGTAATATTTCCTGGACTATTAGTTACTGGGTAACCATACACTCAGTATGCTCTTAAATGGAATTGTACGGATGAACTTGGGTAGGACAATCTCTGTCTTTCGAAAGGCTCTCTCATGGCTACGGGTATGCAGCCACTGTCAGAGATTTCTTACTCACTGCAACACTGTGAGGAAGGTGTTGTATACGAAATTGAGAGGATGAAAAGCGAATACCCGGTTGTGTAACCGGATTGATAGACACGTAGAATTCATCTTGCGCGGTTGAAAAACCCTGATTCTAGACCATTAGTTTATGTGGTCTTCAGAGTCCTGAGGAAGAAAATGGCGTACGAACCAAGTGTAGGTCACCGTCTACCATGTGACTGCGTCTCTCAACGTTGCTCCGCTGTCATGTGGACTGGAACTCCAAGTCAATGGCTCGGTGAGTGACCATCTTAATAACTTGTCTCGTTTTCAGAAACAATACAGTATCCCAACACAGCACATTGATAATTACCACTGGAAGAATTATTCTTCTTTCAACTCTTATTCTGGCAAACCATATTCACAATCATGTGATAATTTTCGTTTTCATTTGTTTTGTACTACGACAATTATGTACTCCCATTTATTCTAATTTTGTATGTTTCATTTTTCAGCTCATATATAAATATGTAACAAAAGTATATTTGTTATTAACTCTCCACTCAATGTTCAGTTTATTTGAAACTATCGAGTCCAACCTTGGTATGGATACATTATTACATGCGTGGTTTACTCGAGACCAGTAGTGAAGACTCTAGTGATGTACTAGAAATTCACTCTCCATCTGTCACCTCACAAGGCTATTTTCACAGGCGTTTATCCAGGGACCCTGTTGCACTGACTGGCTGGATCCCCATCAACAGTCGGTTACGTGTTGTCCCACAAAAAAGCTTCACTAAACTGAGTCAAAATCGATGTCTTTTCGTCATCCTCACCAACGCTCCGACAGATTGTAGCCTGGATGCGACCAAGGGTGATTGTTACCACTAGTCACCTGATCTACAGAAAGTGCGATCGACAGATAGTGTATAGTAATCCGGAGACCTAAGTGATCTGGTCGGTGTCTAGGAACAGACGATAGTCATCTAGACAACTGGTGGGCACTTGTTGGTCTTAGG